ATGTAGAACTGTTGACCATGTGATGCTGAATGGTCAGTTTTCCTTTATTTTGCTTAAGAGCACATTGTGCTTGTGCCTTCTGGTATCACCACTGTAAGTATTGCCAAAATAACTAATTGTGAGGTAAGGTGTGCGTGTCAAAATGGATGTCTGAGACCTATGCAAAATAGGTTCTGTACCTGAGGAAGCACCAAAGAGCCAATCTTCTGGGAATTTCAGAATCTCTTCTGAATGAAAAGGGGTAAACTCCGTATGCTGTGCCAGCTGCTGTGTGTCCATTTGCTCCAAACAGCAGTTTAGCAGTAAGAGTGCAAAGTCTGCCTGGAGGCTGTTACGTTCTCTACAGCAAATGACAAGTCATGGTTTTAGCAGCTTGTATAAAACATTGCAAGGAGTTTATCCCATCCTCTGTATGGAATATTGGAATGAAGAAGGCTTTTGGATGCTCTGTCTCTAAACCAATTGCTATGCCCAAGAATTAATAAAATCCATATTGAAGTGACAGCTGGTGGACAGAGCTGGCTTCTTCCTGCATCACTCGTCTCTCTAGTGGCTCATGTTCTGGGCTCAATGCACATTTATCCTTTTATTGTGGCATTTATTGATTTCTATTTATTTATTTATTAAATATATGTTTCCTTAAGAATCACAATTGCACTGTTCAAAACCTGAGCTTGGTCATATCAGCACTAGCTATTAACATAGTTATTTCCTTTTGCTCTTTAATTACTGACCTTCCAAAGGCATCCAGTGAATGAAATAAAAATGTAGATAAGGGAGAATATATTTTCTCAAAACTTCACATGGCATCATGAACCAGTTTCCAGTTTCTGTACTACTTTGGCTGTTTCCTCTCTTGACAATGTATGTGAGCTCTTTTTCTTAATCCATGACTTTGTGCATTTGCCCCCCTCCCTAATTTATATGTATATTTCTCAAGCTGACATAAACTTTAGACTGACTCAGGAGAATGTTGGAAAGTGTGTGTCACAAAGGCAGGGATTCAAATGAACTTCAGAGCAGAAATTCATTTGCTTATTTATTTATGCTGGTTTTATATGGTAAGTGGCAAGAAGAGATAAAGACCATTCTTTTCAAGGGAGAGAACATTAGCTGTTGTTTTCCATGGAAGTGGGGTTCAGTCATTGTCTCTGTCAGTCTAGTAAGTGATTTCTGTTTTGACACATAAAGAAAAGAAAGACCAAGACTGCCTTTGTTTTCTGGAACCCTGTAAGCTGGGTCATCCAGGTAATTACAGCTTTACTTAAGAAACAGAGTGTGAGAGAGAAAAATTCTGCTGCTGCTTGTAAGCACAAAGAAAAGACACTTGAGGGAATTAAATTGCATGATGATTTTTGTAAGGCGCCTGAATCATTTTGCATTCCACCTCTAAAGCAGAAAATGATGAGTTTAATATCATATTGTAGGATGTAACTGGTAAGTGTCTCCGAAGGCACCTATGGCATCCAGAGGTATTTGAACCTGGTTATTCATTATTTTCTGCTTAAAGGCTGAAGCAAATATGACTATGAGACTTTGAGCCACCTCTAAATTTATTCCCATTCTTACTTGTAGGTTCTACTGCAATAGAAGCCCTAATAGGGGTGAGCTTGGCTGTGTAGACACCAACAGATACCCCTGGGGTATAACAGCAGATAGCATTGGGTTAAGTGTGTTTGTATGTGCTCATATAAATGCACACATACAATTATTTACTTCATTCTCCTATTAACGTTCTCCCTATCTCAACAAGAAACAATTTCACAAGGTCATCTCTCTGCTGATTTTTCTGAAATTGCCATCAGTAGGTGACATTATATATTTAATAAAATGTTAATTCTGTGATCCTACCTAAATTGCAGGAGATCAGTAATTATGTCAAAATCTTCCGGGGAACCTCAACTGAAATATGAAACTTTATTCCCTAGCTCAAATTTGTAGTGTGGCAGTGGGTGAAACATTTCTACATGTAAAGTACCTATGAATATGTATGACTCTAAAGAGAGAGAAGAAATACCATTATTGTTCAGGAACATATCATAATTCTTGTGAAGCTTGTGTGCAAACAAATTGTCTGCTACTTGGTCTGCTAGTTGAGGCACAAAGGTAGAAAACTTTGTGTTTAATGTCCCAGTGACTGGGCTGTTATTGTCCATTTTGAGGCCACAATATCTTTGTGTCTGAGAATAAAGAGATTTTTTCATTAGGAACTCATGTGTTACATTAACAATGCACTGAATCATTTTGTTCTGTAATGGAGAATGCTCAACATGTTTCCCTTTGATAAAGTAATGAATCTGAGGAGGAGAAATGTGAAACACTGAAATGCTGTTTTGCTCACACACAGCAGTGTCTGGGTGTAGTACATCTAGCTGGCAATTACTCTAGCAGCGTTTAGCAACTTACTGAATAGGATGGACAATTGCAAATTTGGACTATACTTAGTGTGCAGGAATATGTGAAATAAAGGGGTTTATATGTTCAGTAGGAGGTTAAGGAACAAAGACCAGGGGAAAAAAAGTTGAATAGTAATTGTGGGATGACTTAAGAAATTACTTTTTAAATATGTTGAAATGAGTGGCTGGATAAATGTTTTTAAACACTTGTCTGGGTGATGAGCAATCTGCTGAATGTCATGGTCTCCAAATAAGAGATCTGGAAGTTTAATCTCTAGGTGAAGGTGATTTCTGTGAAGGATACTGATCCCTCACAAATAACCATTGTAACCAGATTATTTGAAAATTGTTTTGATGATCAAAAAAGACCTTCAAAGAAATTTTAGCACCCCAGGAGACTTTCTAATATTCTCTGGGGCAATTTTTTTTTTATCAGCAATTTTTTTGAGTGAGAATCCTAGGGGAGTTTACAAAATACTCTAGTGATGCTGTGTTAGACTGGATAACTTGATAACTGAATCTTAAAATGAGGATCCAGTCACCCATGTTCTGCAGGATAATTTCTTACTGGATAGCCTATGGAAGGTTATTTTCGTAATCTGTGCCTCTGCATCTCTCTTTGTAGCCACCTTCTTTTGGAAACAACTTGAACTCTATAGATGAATAAGTATACTATGACCCACCACAAATCATACAGTATATACCAGCACTTTTATTTGTGTAAAGACACAGGTGATAGTAGTCTATTGTTAGATATCTCACTGTGCTTCTTGATTACTTTATCTTGGTATGTTCCTATAAAGAATTTTGTCTAGTTGTTCTAAAATAAGTATGACTTAGGTCACTGACTTCTGTGTGAAGGACATTCATGCTTTACAAATACCCAGTTTAACTAGATTATCTGCTCACTTCATCAAATCACTGTTTTGAGACTCTACAACATGTTCTGTTTTATGGTGATGTGCCAGTGTGCATCTGATCTCATCAAATTCTGTTTGTGATGGGGAAATTATCTTATGAAAAATAGTATTACTCAATCTTGGGTTTAATTTCTGTATGCTTGGAGAGGAAGAAAATCCTATGTGGTGTTTCATCCTGTCAGTGCTAATCTTTCTCCTCAGTGCTATATCTCCAAATAGCAGATGTGTGCTTTATTGCAGTGTTGGTCCTCTATAGCACAGCATAATGTTTTGGCAGGAGCAAACAATTTATTGTATTAGAGTCAAACACAATCAAATGTTCCTTTTCCTATGAAGCATGGTCAGATATTGATATTGCATTAGCTAACATTTTAACATAGCAGAGGCTTAATACGGTACAATATTACTCTCTCTAGGCTGTTTAATTAAACTAAACAGTCTCTGTGTATTGTACATTGGTTTTCTGCCAAGGGAAAGTAAATCTGTATCATATTAGTTTCACATACCAAATTATGTTCTCCCCCCATCAGAGACTCTAGAAGAGCTGACACTGCTGTCACATGAACTGCATAATGCAATCTGCCTTCATATTGCATTGGACTGTCCCATAGCTCAGTACTCTCCAGTAGCCTGAGCAAGCTCTTTGTGTGGGTGAGACTTGTGACTGCAGAGTTTCATGCTATATTTCACTGGCCAGGGTCCCTAGCTGCCAGGGGATACAGGGATAAGCATCATAAGCCATTTCCTGCCAAAGGAGCTCTTCTCCATCCCCCTGTTGGGGCAGGGAGATCTGAACTCTGGTCGCCAGCATGGCTCTTGCTGGCCATATGGTGGCCAGGTGACAGGGGTGGGTTTGTCACTGTCTAGTGACATCATTTCTTCAGGTCCAGAGGTTGCAACAGTTTGAGGAAACTGGTCAACCCAGTAGCATCTGCTCTGGTATCACTCTTTAGTGCTGGATGATGCCATCTCACTGCTGCCAATGGCACTGTACATAGTGTTAAAGGTGAACATTGACTCTGAGAAGGGTATGGGGAGAGCAGGCACTTCTGTGGTAATGGGTCCTGCTGTTTTAAAGCAAGAGTTGATGCAGAATCACATAGGGATCTACAAGCAGAGAGACATTCAAGGCACTTGCTTTTGGGAGTTGTTCTCTTGAATTATAACTACAAAACAGAGTAAGACCAAAACGTTTGCAGTATTTCTCCTTATAAGCAGAAATATACTGCACAGGAAATACTGAAGTCTTTACACAATTTTGAGCCTGTCTTACCTGGCAGAAGGCTACCTCTGCATATTGTGATGCAGAACTCTGCAGAGATGGCAAAGCTCTGCCCAAACAATCGTGCTCTAGAAATGGAAGGTGCATATATTTATCAGTGGCACTAAGCCCTGTATCACAGTGAATAATAATGCTTTGGCTCTACCTGTCCTGTGAAAAATGTTGCAACTTTCTCAAAAAAAGGTAAAAAAATGTCTGTCATGTCTCTGTGTTGTATTTCACATGCACCCACAGCGAGGCATGAATGGTTGAATGCATCACAGTGTCTTTGGCATGGCTCTCTGGTGCTGGCACCATGGTTAGGTTCAAGAATGGCAGTATTGGATTTATGAGAGGCTTCACCTATATAACAGTTATGACTTATCTCATGCTGAATGTTTTGTTGTTGTTTTCTCTCAACAGAAGATTAACCTGGAGTTCTATATTGACATCCATGCCCACTCCACCATGATGAATGGCTTCATGTATGGCAACATCTTTGAAGATGAGGAAAGATTTCAGCGACAAGCTGTTTTTCCCAAGCTACTCTGTCAGAATGCTGAAGACTTCTCTTATGTAAGCAATACTTCTGTGAATTAATTTTTCCTAATCTTTTTTCATGATAAAACTCTAGCTTTATTGGATTGTGTGAATTTTATTTCAGTAGAAGGTTGCTTTAAAATTTTGATATTATTAGCTACCATCTTCCCTCTTATATTTACCTTATCCAGAAGGAGTAAGTTGTGATCTTATGCATGTCATTAAGCACATGAACAAAAGCAGACTGTTCATCTTCCATATTATAATCTTTGGTTCTGAAGTATTGGAACACTTTGTTTTTTGTCACAAGGTCTTTTGTTCAAGTGGATCAGCTTTATTCTTCCATTGTTTATATTATTTTGTCATATTTTTTACTTGTACACTCTAAATAATAATAAAATAGCAAATGAAAGTAAAAATAATAAGCTTGAAAGAAAATGTTAGATAATCTCCTGTTGAAAGTTGTGGCAAAGGCAATTTATGCTTTTGAAATTCTTTGATATTACCATGGAAAACTGTTCTGCATGAAAATCTACAATTGCTCGATGCATATCTTGTAACTTGGAAGGAAGTATGTGTAGGTATCTCTGGATATTGGAAATAAATGGCAAACTCCTCTAAATTAGTTGAAAAGGGTCATATGTTTTCAGAGCAAGTTTCAAATAGAGTAGAATTCTCCCTAGTACACATTGGTTGCAGTAACTTTGCAGATGTCAGTACATTTAAGACTCTGGTCTAGTGCATTGCAACTTCATGTCCAAGTATGACATCTTGGCCCTTTCCACAGCCTCTTTTGTGCATCAGTTTTCCTTGAAAGCTGTGCAAGTAGAGCACAAAATGGCAAAGACTGCCTTCAACAGCTTATTTGCTTCTGGCCCACTTGGCACACCTGTGGAGCTGTTAGCTAAGCTCCTTCTACACTGCAATCCTTTGCTCTGTTTCAGTCTGTGCACTGCAGCTTTGCTTAAGTGGACTGTCTTTTGCATGAGATGCTTAGTGTTCCATTTTGCTTTGACTGGAATAACGAATATTCAGACACATATCTGAGCCAGGCCATGAGCTGTGAAGAGGGAAAGCAGTGGGTGATATTTTGCAGCTATATAATGGGAACAATCCCCAATAAAAATTGTTTTGGAATCCTGTACCAACCAAAACAGAGCAGAAAAACCTGCTGTTTGGGCCCTGATTTAATGTCTGTTATGTTCTTAACTCTCTTTGTTACCCAGCACATGTTTTCTCAGTCTCTGACATACAACTGTAGCTTATACTTCATCCTTTTGGTACTGAGGGATAAACATGGACCTCCTGTCAAAGTCAGGGACATCTGGGGCATGGTGCCTGCCTCCTCTGCAGTGCCACCCCAGCCAACTTGTGGCAGAGGTGGTGGGAGAAGGAGGATGGGGGCCCACACCATTCCATATATTTAGCTCTAGAGAAACAAAATCTAAAAACAGATACAAAAGCAGACAAGTCTGCGAGTAAAACAAACTGTTAATGAAAAAAAAGGCCATTTTCCTCATGGCAAGAATGCTAGCCTAAAGCTTTCTCATCAATATGCAGGAGAATTTTTTTTGTTTTGTGTTTGTGCATCTTGCACTGTGGAGTTTGAAAGGGAAGTGAATGTAGAAATGGAGATATGTTACTGTTTTCTTGACAGATCTGTTCCAGCAAAAGGAAAGAAGGCCCTGAAACCTCCAAATTCCAGTTCTATTCTATGGTAGCTCTTTTTTATGTAAAAGTGGGAAGAAGTCTGGACCAGTCTTTGACTTTTCCTACAAATTTTTGGAATTTGGGGGACTACTGCAGTGTGAACATTTCTGCAGTCAACCACTGCAAGGGCTTCTCAGAAAAGTGTTCGGAGTGCAAAAGACCAAATCCATCTTAAATGAAGAGGGACAGCAGTTGCATCTATTTCCAGCTGTTTGGAGCCTGAGGAGAGGGAGTTGGGTTCAAGGAACAGTCTGTTCTTGTCTGGGGAGACCTCAGTGATTGAGTTTCTTATCTGCTCCTCATAGTTTCAAAACCACATTACAGATAAAGAGCATTCACAGATCATAGCAATGAAAACCTGCAATTGATAGGAGTTGAGAAATTTTGTGCTCAAGTGTGGGATTTCTCTCTGCTACTGTGAGAGATTAAGTGTTCCTCTTAGCACAAGCCTTGGTTGACAAAGGGAAAATCTTTGAGAAAATGATGTAGGAAATGGAAGCCAATAGCTAAATAAACAGTGCAGTCTCTCCCCTTTGACTCTTGATCTTCTTCCTGTAGGAACTGGCAGTCAGATATATATGCTGGCATCCAGTGCACCAGAGTTCATCCTAGGTGCTACTGGCACTTGGTACATTCAACTTCCAGCTGACATCCTACTGGTCTCTTGAGACTGGAAACTGTTCCCCTGCCATCCATCCAGGCCATACTTCCTGGAGCAGCTGAGTGTACAGAAGTCTTGGAAAAGGAGACAGCCAGAAAGTGTCTGGCGTGTATCACTGCTGTCTCCAAGTAGAAAAGTCTGTTTTCTTGTTTCCAGCTCCAGCCATGTGGGTTATGTGACTGGTTGGAAATACCAGGTGAAGAGAGGAAAGGAATCCAGAGCTTCCTGCATATAAAATGTGGGGGGAAATATGCTGAAGACTAAAAATAGTGTATGTAAATATGCCCTAGTGCCTGTTCAAAGGGAAGGGGGGAAGTGCATCGTTAATATTACCAGGCTGGTGTTTGAAAGTGTGGGAATGGACCACTGTTGTTACTAATTAATTTTCCAAAGCTTCAGGAGGTCTCATTTACATTGTATGCTGCTGCGGCCATTTGTTGGGATTATAATACTTCAACAGCAGCACTTCAAGTGAAAACTGGCGGCTGCATGAAGTGTTGTCCATAATTGACTAGCTCCATGTCTTCACACAGCACAGAGACAATGTTCCATTATGTTATCCATTGACAGTATCATTGAAAAGATTACTCTCCTTAAAGCATCTGTCAACCTTGATTGATTTACAAGGGACAAAGAACTGAAAAGGTTTGAAGTGCGGGTACAATTTTTGCCACCGTTTAGCATACATAATGGTTCTCCTTTGATGTCAAAAGCTCATCTTCTATTAATAATGCAGAGGGCTTTTGAATGCAGGCTACTTGTATGGAGTTCCACACTAATAACCTACTTGCTGTGAAATGGGATTCACTTTGGAGAAGCAGTCATTTGGGTTTTACATGTTCGGAATGAATCCCAACTCAAAGGGATTTCTTTCAGTGCTCTGCATGATTGCAGCTGAGCCCGGCACGGGTTTGGGAAAGCAGGCAAATCCTAGCCTGCTCCTCCAACTGAGAATCTGGCAGAAATCACGCAGCCAGATGCAAAGGAGCATGAACAACAAGCCTAAGATGATGCGATCAAATGCCTTGTGCCGTTTTGTCTGGCAACCTTCTATTAATATACTTTAGAGTGCATTTCATGCCTGGGCTGCTTTCTTCACTTGTCATTTCCAATAGGCCTTTTTATTTAAATGACAGCATCCAAGGGAGATTGGTGATTAGGGTAGGGGATGGATAGGGAATTTGCACCCACATGCTTGTTGTAGAACCAAATGAGAGTCACCCAATGTCTCTGTACCCTATCTGTTGGGCAAAACACTTGACCTCGCAGCACTCTGGAAGGCTGACTGTGGCTTGCAGGCATAAGTTGTGAAAGGGACCAGAAATTCCTCATTTGTACATGACTTCAGAAACAGGGGCCTGCCTTTGGTTTAGCTGTCAGCATGTGAAGAGGAAAGTGAAAGAAGGGCTAGGAAGTTTTGCTCCCAAATAAATACAAGAGATATTCTGGGGCAGCTGCCTGGGCAAAAGGGACAAAAATCTGTAAGGAAAACATTTTATATTTTCAAGGTTTAAGAAGGATATTTTTAAACATTCTGGAATAAATATAATCTGTATGAAAGCTCTAACAGTGAGAGCTGACAAGCTCTTTTGAAAGGCTGACTCATTGGGTTTTAGGAGCAGCTGTTGACACCACGTCTGAGTGCATTACACATCAGCCACGGCTAGGAGTAGTTGCAGTATTTGGAGGGGTGTTCTTCATTTGACCTTTCTTCTTCTAGAGAGTGGATTAGTCATAACGACCAGACACAAGCACTTGAGCATTTGAAGAACCTGCTAGTTGTAGGGGTGGCTAGTTTTGACCTCTGTGACAGTATGAGAAGAGACCATCTGTTCTCTCTGGTTCATTTAAAAGAAACAAGGGCAGACATTCTTGGATGGCTTTATCACTTTGTAAAGATTGCTTTTCTTTGCAGTTAAAGGAAAAAGATTGGCCAGAGGTACTTGGCCTGATCTTGTTGGGATTTTTTTCCCTTTGGACTCCAGACTGGTGGCACTTGAGATACCTTTGAGTTTTCATTTCATTTTCCTGTATTCAACTTCCCAGCAGAGCACCTTCCTTAGAAATACTGTTTGTCCTTTGTGTGCTGTGGTTAGCCAAAGAACCTGATAAAAACTTCGGGTCCCATTACATTGGGCACTGGGTAACAACCCCAAAAGCTTCCATTCATGCTGGAAAAGATATAGAGAGCAGATGGGAAGGGATTTTCTTGAAGAAATGGGAGAATAAAACTTGGATCTCCAAAGTGCCTGTCTGGTTTCTTTGCCAGAAATTCCCTGTGCTTTACACCAGGCTCACACTCAATAGTGACATCTCTGGACAGCAACCCACCTAGCTTCCTATAGAAAAACATGCTGTTAACCTCAGTGCCATAATGCAGTGACCTAAAGCATATTTTAGAGGTGATCGTTGTCTCAGCAATACGAGGAAATTCAGATACGGAATGATTTGCCCTGGTACTTTTTGTTGCAGGGGTTTTTTTTCAGTTGGCTGTTTTGGCGTTTTTTAGTCTGGATACCTAACACTGAGCAACCAAATCGCTATATATTTTATACTTCTTTCCCTTTATCCACATACTCTGGGTCTGTTATTTCCACAGCATCCCACCTCATCCAGGCTTTTGTAGGGAAGATGTGCTCATTCCAGTAAACCTCCTCCCATGTGC